AAATATAAATTTATTTTTTACAATCAACTAATACTGACAGACACAAATGAATCAAGATTCAATGTGATAATAACTGCGCTATTAAATTCAATAGGAACCATTGAGCGTCTCATAATTAGCAACAAAGCTTTTTTATTCTTGTTATCAAATATGTGCCACTTCATATTGTATATGCTGTTTGCTACTCCAATGCTCTATACATAAATATTGCTTATTAAAAAAAATATATCACGTGTTGTGTAATAATATTTCTTTTTCCTCTTTTCAATTTTTTATGTTTATTTTTTTAAAGTTCTAATAAACGAAAAATTTATATTTTTTATATATATATATAAGATCATATATATATTTATATAAATTATACCTTTAATTTGAGTTCATTTCCAAACCAACAATAGAGAAAAATCTGTGATAACATGCAGGCCGTATACATTATTAGTGTAACAAGGCTTCCATTGATCATTACGATAGAAATAGAAGCCAATTTGTATAAATTAGCACATACCACTAGCATGCTTACTGCGAACTGGAAAGCAATTATCTTCGCAAACCTGCGATTTACCATATACGCATATCTAACATTAAATAAAGAAAAAAAAAGAATTTTAGTTTATTCTCTATATATAACTTTTAAAGCCGTTTATCAATCTTATTGAACATCTTTCATAACATTTTTTATGAAATAAACAATTTAATAATTTTAATAATTACTTTGAAAATTTCGCAGAAGAGAACATACAAATAGACAATTTTGCGTGTAATGATTATATTCCAAATATTTTAAATTGTTTTAAAAACTAACTCATATATACGATCATGGTGACGAATGCAATTGCAGAGACTATGTTGGTCATATGAGATTTTCAACCGATATTCCAGAATCTCAAGCTGACAGCAAATCTCTTGCAAGAGTCCGGATATCAAGCTATCACAGGCAACGTTTACAGTCGCACAGATTGACATACCTATTATTTGGTGAGTGAATACGAAAAAAAATATAATGGGTGATGTGTAGTCAAATGGTACCCATGCTTTGAATGTCAAATTTCCTTTCATAAAATCCATGAAGATAGCATTTAAAATTATGCATATGACCGTTATCTGTACAAGGCCGTAATAGCACAATGCGTATTTCCTATAAAATATATTTTTTATAAAAATATTCTAACGGCTATGAAGAATTGTTATATCTATTTGTTCTCGAAGCATTTGCTTACTGATATTATTTTACTCATATTATTACTCATATTATTATATTTTTACTTAATTATATTATTATTTATGTTTATGTTGTTTGTAACATATTGATAAATTAGAAGCATTCTGCTGTAAATTATTAATATTTCATGAACAATATGATATAAAAATATAATAATATTAATATAATTCGAAAGATTGCTTTGTAATAATGAAGCATTAAAATGATTGTATTCGGAAAATGATTAAATTATTAAACATAATAGGTATAAGAGAGAATCGCCAAATGTGTATTACTTAAACAATTTTTTATATGTTCCATTTAATACTGATTTATACGCAAATGAACATTGGAAATTGTAGCTTGATGTTTCTTATTGTTTATTACATGTGATCAACATAATTTCTGCAACTGCATTCACCATGGTCATATATATGAGTTAGTTTTTAAAACAATTTAAAATTTTTAACATATAAATTTGTTATGTCGTTTTGAAACATGTTGCATATTTCAATACGCAGGAGACTGTGACACAGTCTTGCTTTGCATGGAAAGTCGGATCCCTCTAAGTAAAGGAAGAGGTGGGACAGACCTCGCTTTGCATGAAAAGTCTTTATAAAATTGTAAAAATTGTGTTCCATTTATATAACTTATTCTATTCTTATTAATTTTGTAATGAACTATGTTCAATATTGAAAGTCACTCTGGACCATGACCTTAATAACATAAAAAAAGTCAAAGTCATTGAAATCTGAGGTTGGCCTTAATATGCAATAATTATTCTAATTTCTCGTTTTTTTTTCTTTATTTTTTTTCTTTATTCTATATTTTTGTTAATAAATGTCTTTATATTAAGTAATAATGTAAAATATTGATGAGGTAATAATTGAGGCAAACAATACACATTCAGCAACTCTCTCGTACATATGTGTAACACATGTTAATTGTGTTAACTAAATAAAGTATATAAATATGGTTACATTCTGAAATACTATGTTATAACGCATTTGATAACGCAATGATGGAGCTAAAATTTGATTCTGATTATTTAGAAATTATTAATTATAATATAAATTTAATTATTGAATTCTGTTGCACTTTATGTTTGTATAATTCAAGAATATTTACCTTATCGTTTTGTTATATCTTTGCCGAATTATTACTTCGCATGATTCCGATGGTTTAAAAGGTTCCTCCATAAGAACATTGACTATCGTTATGACATGTTCTTTAATTATCCACATGGTAACTATTTTATAAGTCGCGATAAATACCGCCAACGTCATATATATATTATCGCTTATTTCATCAAAATTGTTAATATTTAATACAATGTTCATAATTTGCGATATTGTAAATGCACTTGCTATACAAATCAGCAATATTCTATAACTGTTATACATTATATATTTTGACTGCGATGTCCATGTAAGCGGTTGCCAGCATCCGCAGACCGTACAAAGTACAAGTGTAAACTGCAGCACGATCATTCGAATTTTTTAAAATTTAATCTTGTCTACACTTTAATTACTATAACAGTGTTACGTCTACTCACAATTCCAATATTAAACATGTAAAATAAAAAAAGTAAAATTAAAATTGTATAAAAAATTTAAAAAGAAAGTGTTATATACACGTATATACATGTGTGTGGGTGTGTGTGTGTGTGTGTGTGTGTGTGTGTGTGTATGTGTAATACTTTCTGTATATATACATATCAAATAAAATATTTTTTTCTGACATTTTTTTAAATATAAAGTTTAACTTTATTTAAATAGACTTCAAAATTATTTTAAAAAAAGGTACACACCTAGAAATATCAAATAGACATCTATTTTTTACGGATTTTTTTTTGCGAAAACTTAATTTTACTCAAACAGGATTTTAATCAATACATGTATATCAGCATAAAACTTTTAATTAAAAATATTAACAAAGAATGCTGAAAAAATATTAACAACTAATATGTAGGACATTGTAGGAGTTTGGCCAAAATTCTATTTTAAGATAAATAGTTTTCGTAAGAGAATTCATGAAAGAAATTGGCATTTTTTTCTTTCTGGTTTGTCTTCCACCCTTAATTTAAACATTTAATGTCATTAAGTAAAAAAAATTTTTCTTAATTTTCAAATAAACTGAATGATATTATTATAAAAATATAAAAATAATTTTAAAATAAACATAATATATAATTTTATTTTTAAAGTATGAATTTATAATATTTGTTATACTTACAAAGTAATTAATTCTCACAATTACTTAACATTACATTAAAAGTATTACTGTAAATTTCTTAAAAAGTAATTGATATTTAATTGTGGACAAATTAACGGAAAAAATTATATGACTAAATCATATTCATGTGTCAAATAAGATCAATAAATTGTTCGAGAAAGCTAGATACACCCGAAATGTTTATAACCTCTCAATATCACTTTCTGACAATATACAGTACTTACTGATCGTGCGGAAAACTTTTTTATCTGTCTCTATTATTATCGTAATACCAATCTTGCAACGGCGCGCGGCGCGGAATATTATGTATTTCTATGAAATAACATGTAGATAAATTGCAATTGTTTCATATGATGGAGTAAATATTGTAAATAACATTTCCATAAGGTAGAAATCAAAGTAGAGATATAGGTTTTTTCGAAGATTTATCAATATAAAATACCAAGTATAAATTGCTTCTATGAAGTATGCATGCGTCACTTATAGTATGTACATGTGAATAAAAAAATATTTCTTTATTACTGTCGCTAGCCAGTACTTCACATGTTATCACATGCTTCACATGTCATTACATTTTACATATTGATTTCTATTCGCGATGACTAGTGAAATATAAACGTCGGAGAGGCAGTAAATTATAGAAACTGACTTAACATTGACGTAATATATTCTACGAAAACTCTTTTTACAACATGTTGTTAGTTATCGCAACAATTAAAACAATATTGTACAAAAATTTTTGATGTGCAAAAAGTGTGAGTGTTAATACATACTTAATATTAATTGCAACACCTTAATTATTAATTCATCCAATCATATATATATATATATATA